TTCTCCTCCTGCAACCCCAATCGAGATCGAGCGCAAGTTTTTTATCTTGCCCCCTCGACCCCCAAAATTTCAAGGCTGATGGACGCGCGCAGCGCGGCCCGCGGGGTCAACCAAAAAAATGCAGTCGCCAGCATCGGCGTGAACAGTCAAATTGCCAAATTGTCAAATTGTCAAAACGCCCCTGGGCCCCCAGGGGGCCCAGGGGCGTCGCCATGTCGCGGGACTAAGCTTGCGTTTGATTTCGAGGAGGGATGTAAAGAAGCTTCTTTCTCTGGCGAAATCGCCTGCATATTCACTCGCTTGACCGTCAGCTGCCCTGTTCGTCGGCTCTGTGTCGCTTCAAACGCAGCAAAGCACGAGCGTCGCGCGCAGTGCTCGTCTGCACGACGCCGCTGCTGACGGTGCGGAGGGTCGCGCAGAGGCCCGAAAAGCAATGCGGAAAAACGCCCTCTCCAAAGAAAGTTTATGTAGACGATACCCCCATGCCAAAACGAGCTGAACGGCGCCCCTCCGCGAATTGCTTTGTCCTGTTGCTCCTCCTGCAAGCGGAATCGCATCATCCCGGCCAGGCCCGTATCGGCTCCCCCGTCCTCGCTGTCAGATGATACCATGCGGTGCAAACGAGTTGCTCCGTAAAACAAAAGCACAAACAAACATGTGGGCCACAAGCGAACGAGCCCCGCGCGGGCATGTCAAAATCATTACCAAACAATCGGTGTGCTAAGCATGTTAAGATCGAGCTCTTCAACGCCATTCAACAGCATATACGAAAACAACGATTGCATGTTCATGAAACGTGCCGGGTGTTCTGTGCGCGCACTTGCTAAAACCATGAAGAATCGTTTCCGTGCTATTCCTGACAATGAAGACCATGCGGTCAACGCACGCGCGCTCCCCACGCGCATACGCACTTGCCCAAAATCAGGTATTGTAAGTCCCCCACACAAAAAAAAAACCTGCCAAATCAGACCATGCGGGCCACACGGGCGCGACCCCGCGCTCGCAAGTCGAACTCATTCGAAAACACACTGTCTTGAAACACTTCAGAAGCGAACTCTTCAAACATGCGTATCTATCTAACAGTCGACAGTCGTTGTCCAATGAAACCTGCTCCATACCATTCCGGACATTAGCACCACTCGCCGGCTTGAGTCATGGAAATGCATGCAATGAAAGGGGTCCGCGCGCCTCCGCGGGCTCCCCGCTGGTCGGCATGTGTCATTAACTTCCAAATGATTGCTATACTCACGGCCTCTTCGATATGGCTCACAAATTGTGGACGCATGGGTGGGATGCGTGTTCGAACAATGATTTTGACTACTTCAAATTCGTCGCGTAACCATGACATGGAATGCACAACATAGCGTGCCCCCGTACATTGCACGACATACCTTGCACCACATATATATATATATATATATATATATATATAAATAAATAAATAAATAACTATATATATATGAGAGGGAGAGAGAAGAGAGAAAGAGAGAGAGAGAGAGAGAACCCCCCCCCAAAAAAACACGCGTTTCACGGGCGCTTGCCTGGGGAACATTCGGCGGCGCGTTTCGAACCGGGGGGTGGGCCCCCCCTCCCCCAACACTCGGCGTCGTCGATCAAAACCAAAGGGGAATCCCCTCCCCCCCAAACCCCCCCACTCCCGAAACCACCCCCCCTCCCAAGGACGGGGAGGAGGTTCAACCCCTGCCCTCCTCCCTCCCGCACGGGGGGGGTCCAAACCCCCCCCCCCCCTCAGCGCCGCGCCGGCGCTGGCGGCCGCCAGCAGCGCCCACGGCGGGACGCAGCGACGATGACCAGAGGCAGCCCAGAGGGGGGGGTGTTCAAACCCCCCCCCCCCGCGCCGAGGGGGTTCAAACCCCCCCCCCACCCCACCCTCGCGCCTGCGCCCGCGCTGGCGGCGGCCAGCAACGCCGGCGCTGGCGCCGGCGACGGCGGGGACGCAGCGACAGTTACCACCACTACCACCACCACCACCACTACCACGCCTCAACCCACCACCACTACCACCAACAGCACCACACAACCACCACCACCGCACCACAGCCACCACCACCACCACCAAAATCACCACCACAACTCACCATCACCACCACCACCACCACAAAAGCCCACCACCACTACCACCACTACAACAACCTACCACACCACCACCACAACCATCACCGCCACAACCACCACCACTACCAGCAACACACCCCACGGCCACCACCACAAACCACCACACCACCACCACCACCACCGCCACCACCACCACAACAACAAACGTTCACAAACCACCGCCACCACAACCCATCACCACCACCACAAACCACCACCACACCACCACCACACCACCACAACCACCACCACCACAACTCACCATCACCACCACCACCACAAAAATCCACCACCACTACCACCACCACCACCATAATCTACCAACAATACCACCACCACCGCCACAACCACCACCACTACCAGCAGCACAACCCACCACCACCACCCCAAACCACCACACCACCACCACCACCACCCCCACCACCACCACCACCTCCACCACCAGCGCCACCTCCACAAACCACCGCCACAACCACAACCCACCACCACCATCACCGCCAACCACCACCACACCACCACCAAACCACCACCACCACCACTACAACCCACCACCACCACCACAAACCACCACCACACCACCACCAAAACACCACCACCACCAGAACCACCACCACCCACCGCCACAACCATCACCACCACAACAAACCACCACACCACCACCACCACAACCACCGCCACAGCCACCACCACCACCACAACCCACCACCACCACCACCACCGTCGTCCTCGTCGACGCTCCCCGCCACCGCCGCCCGCCGCCGCAGGCGCCGGCGCCGGCCCAGAAATGGAAATCATCGTCCCCGCCGCCGTCGCCGCCGCCGACGCAAGCGCCAGCCCGAGGAGAGCGGAAGCAGGGGAGGGGGGCGCGGGTTCGGACCCCACCACCCTGTCACGGGAGAGGAGGGGGGTGGGGTTCGAACCCCCTCCTCACCTCCGTCACGGGAGGGGCGGGGGGGGAGGGGGGGGGGGTTCGAACCCCCCCCCCTCCCTCCATCCAGGGGAGGGGAGGTCCGGTTTTCACCCCCCCCTCCCTCCAAGCGACCACAGAACGCGCTCTTTCACACATATCTATATATATATATATTATATATATAATATATATATATATGTATATATAATATGTGTGTGTATGATTGCCACCCGAAGCTTGTACCAACTAGCTTTCACCACATAGATTGCACCACAGATCTTGGCTCAATAGGTTGCACGGCATAGCTTGCACCGCATGTATTACACTAGCTTTCACCACGTGAGTTCCACCGCACGCCAATGTATACACGCACAAATATGTACATACAGATACCACGTGAGCGTACACATGTATATATACATTATATATATGTACATGTTCACCCCATCTACTGCACACGCCATGTTGCATTTATACTGCTTGTACCCGTGAGCTGACAATACCTCTATACATACACATAATATGATATAATATAATGTGACATACTATAAAATAATACAATATAATATAATATATCATAATCTAATATAATATAACATACTATAATATAATATGATATAAGATAATATAATATAATATAATATAATATAATATAATATAATATAATATAATATAATGTCATATAGTATAGTATAATACAATATAATACAATATGATATAGTGAAACATAACATAATATAACAAACCATACTATACTACAATATACTATAATATAATATAATGTAATATAATATAATATAATATAATATAATTCTTTATTATAATATAATATACTATAGTGTAGATATAATATACTATATTATACTATAATATAATATAGTATAATATAATGTAATAGAAATAATATGATATAATACAATATAATATAACATCATATCATATCATATCATATACTATAATATAATATGATGTATGAAGAGAAAAAGAGAGATAGACAACACATATATACACTCCCACACACTGCAAACGTTAGGTTACGCCGCATGAGCTACACCCAACAGTTTGCACCACATAGCTGGCGCCCCATAGTTGCACACACCGTTTGCACATCGAGTGTGCAAGAATCCACTGCTTGGGGTCCACGCTGGCAAACATACAACTCTTGAATTTGGAACGGTAAAAAGAAAGCAAGCACCTCGAGGTAATTATCAAACTAATGCACACGTGAAACTCCAGAGCTAGTGCTGTACGTCGTGCACGAGTAGGGGAGAAGAGATGAAGGAGGAGTAGGAGGAAGAAGAAAAATAAAAGAGGAAGGAGGCAGCAAGGAGGGAGGGGGGAGGGAAGAGCAGAGAGAGCAGGGAGGGTCAGGATAAAGGAGAGAGGATGGAGGGAGGGGGGGCAGGAGGAGGACTGGGAGAAATGCGGGGGGATGGAGGAGCAATAGGGAGCGAGGGACGGAGGAGAGGAGAAGGAGGGGGGATGTGAGGAGCAAGAGGGAGCGAGGAGAGGGATACGAACAGCCGCCTGCTCGGACATAGCGGCGTACCTACCTCAAACGCCGCTTCCACGTCCAGCCCGATGCATCCCGAAGCGTAGTGCGCCCCGTTGCCAAAGGCCCAGATGCCGACCGTGGGTCCGATCGATCAACGGTTCCACCACGAATCAGCTGCCAGAACAAGCTTTCATCGAAGCATCGGGATCCTCCAGGGTGCTGACGGCATGTTGCCGTCATCATGTCCGCATGGGTGGGAAACGATCGTGAAGTCAGACCCCGAGCAGAGCCATCCTCCTCTTCGGCTATTGGACATCCTCTGCTCCCGTCTGCCCACATGACACATGACTCATGCTTCCGCCCCATGACACCACCATCCGATCAAACCCTACTTGGTAGAGATCCGGAATAGCTTCCATAACCTCCTAGATTCCACACCCTGCACCCTGCCCTTGACAATATCAACCTCATGGAGTCATCGGCCTCGAGCGGCTGACTTCTTCTTGGCTGCTTCGGCCTGCCACCAAGCGAGGCATGAGCGAAGGACGAGAAGGCTCGCCTTGTGAGTCCATGTAAAGATCCAAACGCTGATCACGACGCTGATGCGCAATAGATCGGTATGCTTACCTGTGGTCTGCGAGACGCACTTGCAGTGGAAACGGACACGCGTACCTCTCGCAGAGCTGCAATTCGGGATACGAGACCACGTGCTAATCCCCCTCTGAACTGTGGAACAGATTCGGCGGCGACGTTAGGGGCGAATAGCCCAGGGGCGGGCATTACACGTATTCGCCAGGGGGCCTTTTCGAAGACATAGATCATCGGCACGCCTGAATACGTGTATTGCTCTCCCCTGGGCTATTCGCCCCCATCGTCGCCTCTCACAGGTGCACACGTTGGCCAGGCCTCCCAGGCGCAGATGCCGGCCAACAGCAGGGCCACGAAGCGCACGCAGGCGGGCCCTGCGCGGGCTATGCCCTTCCTCTTGCCTGCGCGCTCGCCTCCTCGTCTCTGCCCCAGTATGGCATGCACCTCCCCACCGCCGCTCCCTGAATGGCTCTCCCGCATGCTTGCTCCTCCTCGTTGGCAGGACGTGTGATCCCTTTCCCGCCCTCGTCCCAAGCTTATCTCCCCCTTTCTTCGCCCTACAACTTCCTTCCGCATTCCCGTGCGGATACTTCCTAACAGCAATGCCACGCCTCGCGGCGCCTCGACTCGTCCAACCCTCCTAACTGCTGCAGTCACTTCTTATGTTCACCGTCAGGTGTTATTGTTGGCTTGGCTCTCAGCCGAAGGGATTGACGCAGGCGGCGAGAAGATCCGTTCAACAAAAAGGCAGGCTGTGGCAGTACGACTGCGACTCCAGTGAAATTTCTAGTCGGCGAGTGTACATGCACCTCGGCCTGCCTCCAACTCGCACACGTGTTGCACCGACGAGGCCGCGTGGGGAGCCTCGTGGGCGCACCGCGCTGGCGTTCTGCTGGGCTTTCGCCCGGTGGCCACCCGTGGGCAACGCGTGGGCGCATCGTGCGCTGGCACGGCCTCTGGGCTTCCGCCCAATGGCTACCGGTGGCCCTCTGCGGGCGCCACACAGCTTGCACCACACAGCTTGCACCACACAGCTTGCACTTGATCCCTTGCACCACGTGGCTTGCACCAACCGCCTTACGCCGCATAGCTTGCATCGCATAACTTGCACCGCACAGCTTGCGCCGCATAGCTTGCCACATAGCTCACACCACATAGCCAACACATCCAGAGTGCAAGAACCCACTCCCCGCGGCCCACGCCGGCAAACCTGCATCGGCATGGATATCTGCGGAGATATTGGCACGACCGTTCCAACATCACATCACACCCTGGATGGGCATCCACACCCTGCAAATATGATTCACAAACCAGTGCTACGGTAGAGGGAAACAATTAGTGGACATTCCCCCGCTACCCCAAACTCAAAATTGGCACGCGCGGGGAAGACTGCGGTCCAAGTGCAGCTCGTTCAGCCCACCGCCAACGTTGACCAGCGACGGGGGGCATTGACAGAAGAATGCGACATGAGAGTTCGCTCATTTCTTCTGGCGGAAGCTGGCACAGGCTCGTGCAGACAGCTATAAGTACCGATCCGGGTGGGCGGCCAGGGGGCCCCGTTCCTGGGTCCGAGCCCCAGGCTCCCGGCGGCGGCCAAGCTTCCAGGACCTCGGGAAATAGGACAGGGCGAAGAGTGGAGGGTAGAAAGTGGATATTCGACATTATTAGCGGGCAACAAATTCACCCCCATAATAACCACCCCGACACGCGAAGCCGTTTACTAAATGCCCGGGCAAGGCTGTTTAGGAAACTCCCAAAGGCGTTTAGTAAACGCCAATTGTTCGGTCCGGGCGGTTTTTCCTCCCTTGAAGTATTGAGCAAAGCGCAGGGGCGTTAGAATAGAGAGCAGATATGAGAGGGACGGGAGTAGAGAGGAGCATGGCGCGTAGTAGAGAACGGGGTGAGGACACAGAGTAACTGGAGGGTAAAGAGTACACCATTCGCCATCCATCGCTCACACCCACTGACAGTATGCTGTCCTGACATGCTTCGCAGATGCAACGGTTGGGAGTGCCCCTGGCAATCGAATAAGAAGACACGGGGCACTGCGGGTCACAGGGCACGCCGGGCCATGGACATCAAAGTCAAAACATGGCACTCACCTCGCCCTCATGCACCAGTGCGGTGATGAAAAACAGCATTCGCTGTTTGAGGAAAGGCGGGGCGATGGCGTGACACTAGATCAAGCCGCTGAGACCTTTGCCACCAGGCCCCCCTCGCTACGCACATGCATCTCCGACGCGAGGGCCCATGCCATGGGGAACGGAAGACGCGCGACAGCTTACTCTCAGTCGCTTCCGCGGGAGCGCCCCGACTGGCCCTCAAACTCGCCCGCCAGGCTCACGCAGCGCGTGCCACACGCACTGCGAACTCCCGACCCGCGCCCACAAACGAGCTGCTCGGGCAGAGCTGCGCGCCTTGTGAATCTGAAACCGTTCCAGCGTGGCCTGTAATGCAGCGCGCCATGGGGGTCTGCAAAGCCATCCCATCCATGCAAGCGCGCCGCGGAAACGGCAACAACTGATAGCCGAAGAGCAGGCAACTCTGGAGTAGCATCGTTTCGCGATCGCGGCTCAGACGGCTCAGACTGTCCTTCCGAGATTGCACGGATCCCCAAACGCGTAGGGCCCGTCGACACCAAACGGGTAACCCGCCGAGCAGCCATAGCCGGTCGACTCGCCGACCGATCCGGCCGTGCAGGCAGTGCAGGCAATGCGGCGGGCGGCGAGAAGCCCTGCAGATAAGTAAGGCACACAACAGGCTCCCCGGAAACCTTCCAGAGCTGAGCCGAAGCTCATGGAGGACAGCTGCACGCAGAAAGAGAAATGCCGTGCTTGCTCACCCTCCGCCTGTTACTCCCCATTCACCCATCCTCCGTCGCAAGACTTCGCATCCTCTCTCCTCCTGCCCTCCGCATCCCCCGTTCTATTCCGCGCCGACGGAGCCTAGTCGAGTGGGCCACAACGAGCAGAGCGGATAGGGGATATGAGTGAGGGACCGACCACCACCACCACTGAATCCGGGGACCGAGAAGAGAAGAAAAGCGCCGTCACCCATCCTGCTCCTCCTCCTCCTCCTCCTCCTCCTCGGCTGGCTCGGCCTCCTGGCACACCTTGCCGCACGCGACTGCGCATGGCCGCTCTGCCGGGATTGGTGCAGGCGGCAACCACCTGGGCAGTGATCTCACCCGGAGGCATCCTCCTCCTCTTCCTCCTCCTCCTCCTCCTCCTCCTCCTCCTCCGCGTCCCCCTCATGTCCGTCCTCCGCGTCCTGCTGTTCCTCCTCCTCCTCCTCCTCCTCCTCCTCGCCGTCGTCCATTTGTTTGTGTACTCTCTTTCTCTCTCTTTCTCGCTCTCTCTCTCTCTCTGTCTCTCTCCCTCTCTCTCTCTGTGCCTATACGACCACCCTGCGGGTGATAGGGAGGTGAGGGGGGGGGGGAACCGGCGTCCCACTCAGTCGATCTCGCTATCGATCTCGCATTCGATCTAATTATCGATATCACTATCGATCTCGCTATCGATCTCACTATTGATCTCACAATCGATCTCACAATCGATCTCACAATTGATCTCACATTCGGTCTCACATTCGGTCTCACTGTCGATCTCGCTATCGATCTCACAATCGATCTCACAGTCGATCTCGCATTCGGTCTCACATTCGGTCTCACTATCGATCTCACTATCGATCTCACAATCGATCACACTATCGGTCTCACAATCGATCTCAAAGTCGATCTCACAATCGATCTCACAATCGATCTCACATTCGGTCTCACCGTCGATCTCACTATCGATCTCACAATCGATCTCACAGTCGATCTCACATTCGGTCTCACATTCGGTCTCACTATCGAACTCACTATCGATCTCGCTATCCATCTCACTATCGATCTCACAATCGATCTCACAATCGATCTCACAATCGATCTCACATTCGGTCTCACAGTCGGTCTCACTGTCGATCTCACTAACGATCTCACAATCGATCTCACAGTCGATCTCACATTCGGTCTCACATTCGGTCTCACTATCGATCTCACTATCGATCTCACAATCGATCTCACTATCGATCTCACAATCGATCTCACAATCGGTCTCACTATCGATATCACAATCGATCTCACAATGGACGTCATCATCATCAACAACACCAACATCATCATCATCGCATCATCATCATCATCATCATCATCATCATCATCATCATCATCATCATCATCATCATCATCATCATCATCATCATCATCATCATCATCATCATCATCATCATCATCATCAACATCATGATCGGGACACCGACGGGACACCGACGGGACACCGGCGGGACACCGGCGGGACACCGCGCGCCACCGGCCGCCCGGTGGAGAATCATTTGGTCCGGCCGCGCCTCAGCCACAAAGGACACCACCGGGACACCGGCGGGACACCGCGCGCCACCGGCCGCCCGGTGGAAAATCATTTGGTCCGGCCGCGCCTCAGCCACAGGAGACTTTCCTCTCGCCCGCCCACGCAGCTTCGCCTCGCCCGCACGCACGGCACGCACGAACACGAAACCGAAATCGATTTCCCGGTAGGGGGGCTCTCCGTTCCACTTCGATCTCACCCCCTCACCTCTGATATATACACACATAAGACCATCGGAGGTGTGAGGGTGAGACCGTAGTAAAACGGACAGCCCTCTCCAGCAAGAAATCGGTTTCGGTTCTTCGTGCTCGTGCCGTGCAAGGCGATGCGAGAGGCGAGGCTGCACGGGCGGGCGAGAGGAGGGAGCCCTCCTCTGGCCAGGGCGGCGCCTCTGGCCAGAAGACCGCCCGCCCCCCCAAGTTGGCCGACGGTGGCCAGGGGTGTCCCGCCGTGGCGTCCCGAGAGTGTCACGTGGTGTCCCGCGGTGACCCGTGGTGTCCCATGGCGCGGTGTCCCGTAGTGTCCCGTGATGTCCCGTGAGGTCGATAGTGAGGTCGATTCTGAGATCGATCGTGAGATCGATAGTGAGATCGATCGAGTAAGATCGATCGAGTGAGATCGATCCAGTGAGATCGATCCAGTGAGGTCGATCGTGAGATCGATAGTGAGATCGATTGAGTGGGACGTCGGTTCCTCCCCCCCAATAACCTCCTTGTCACCCGAAGCCGAAGGGTGGTCGTCGTACAGGTACCACACCGCTCCCTGGCTGCACCCGGCCCTCGGCGGGGTGCCCTCGGAGCCACCGACTGCTCGCCTCCGGAGCAGGGAAGCAGGACCGCCCCCGGGGGACAGCGTGGTGCGGCACGTCTGCCCCGCGTGTCGCCGCGGCAGCCCCAGCGACGCGCTGCCCCGTGCTCCGGCGGACAGCGCGCCGCTGCGCTCCGCCGGGGCGGGGGGGCGGGGCACGGCCCGGGAAGTGGACGCCCGGGGCCTCCTGGCGGGCCCGCAGCGGCGGCGCGAGGACGCCATGGGGATCGAGGGCGGGGCCGGCGGTCGGCGCGCCGCGCGCCGCAGCTCTGTTGTGAGCCCAGCACCGGCGGCGCGCTGCACGCTGCCCAAAAGTGCCGGGCGTTGCGCATCCACCTCGCTGAGGTATCGTTTGACCGATCCCCATCCCCAGTGGTGTGGCCTGGGCCCCACTGGTCGATTTACCCCCCTAGATGGGCATGTAGTTCGTTCCCTTCGGGTGTCGAGGGGTGTCTCCCCAACTTGAGTGGTAGTCTGGAGGGGGTCTCGAAGGGGATGGGGATGGGGGGATCGGTTAAACGATATCGTTTAACCGATCACCGACCCTGGCCAGGCCCACCCCGGGTCCGGGGACCGGCCCCACACCAGGATCGGCGGGGTGCGCAACTGACCTCCCCCGCGACTCCGGCAGTCCTCTCCGGGAGGCGGCCCATCCGGGACCGGGTGCGCGGAGCGTCCTTCCCGTGGGGGGGAACGTGGGCGGGGGCGACTGCGGGCCGCGAGGCAGCAGGGGCGCGAGGCCGAGAGGTCGGCATCCGAGAAGTCCTCGCGGCGCCGAGCTGGGGGGAGCATCGCCTGCACGCAACGAGTGGCCCTGGTCTCAGGTCGGGCATGTCCTTCTACAGGCGGATTTTGGAGGAGACATAGAATCAAACAAGAATCAAAAATAGCAACAAAATGCTCAAAAATCGCCCCCATACGATTGTTTTTTAACTATTTTTGAATGTGCCTCCTGTAAGGGGAGACGCCCGACTTAACCCTAGTCCAGAGCGAGCTCTGGTGCGCGGCGTCAGGGGGCTGCAGGGGGGCCAGGAGCCCAGCGCGCAGAAGCCGGTGCGGGGGGGACCCCCACCCAGACCCCCGACGTCGTGATCTTTGCTTCAACGCCGACCTCCAGAGGTCTGGACCAACCCTTCCCCGGGACCGGCTGTTCATCCTGAGTCGTTTTGCTGACGCTCCCGATATGGGACCACATGCGAACCCTACCCCTACTACTCCCCACGATTTCTGAGGGGAACGGTGGGGTTCACTCCTCCTCCTCCTCCTCCTCCTCCTCCTCCTCCTCCTCCTCCTCCTCCTCCTCCTCGCTCCTCCTCCTCGCTCTCGCTCCTCGCTCCTCGCTCCCTCCTCCTCCTCCTCCTCCTCCTCCTCCTCCTCCTCCTCCTCCTCCTCTCCTCCTCCTCCTCCTCCTCCTCCTCGCTCCTCCTCGCTCCTCCTCGCTCCTCCTCGCTCCTCCTCGCTCCTCCTCGCTCCTCGCTCCTCTCGCTCCTCCTCGTTCCTCCTCGTCCTCCTCCTCCTCCTCCTCCTCCTCCTCCTCCTCCTCCTCCTCCTCCTCCTCCTCCTCCTCCTCCTCCTCCTCCTCCTCCTCCTCCTCCTCCTCCTCCTCCTCCTCCCTCCTCCCTCCTCCCTCCTCCTCCTCCTCCTCCTCCTCATCCTCCTCATCCTCCTCCTCCTCCTCCTCCTCCTCCCTCCTCCTCCTCCTCCTCCTCCTCCTCCTCGCTCCTCCTCGCTCCTCGCTCCTCGCTCCTCGCTCCTCGCTCCTCGCTCCTCCTCCTCCTCCTCCTCCTCCTCCTCCTCTCCTCCTCCTCCTCCTCCTCCTCCTCCTCCTCCTCCTCCTCCTCCCCCTCCTCCCCCTCCTTGCTCCTCGCTCCTCGCTCCTCGCTCCTCGCTCCTCGCTCCTGCTCCTCCTCCTCCTCCTCCTCTTCCTCCTCCTCCACCTCCTCCTCCTCCTCCTCCTCCGCCTCGTTGCAACGTCAAGTACGCCAGAGGGTCCCGCCATGCAAGGCAAACGTCAGGGTGCTGCTAGGGTCACTTGCAGACCCCCTCGCGTTGCGGCCCCGGGCGCCTGCCACGCGAGCGACGATTGACTACCTACCAGACCACCCCAACCCAACCCGAAAACCCGCATTTCGGGTGGGGGGGGGACGACGGGATATGTGTTTTGTCGATGTTTCCCGACCCCACCCACCCCACTGGAAAGGGAGGGCACATTGAGGCCTTCGGGTTAGGTTGGGGTGGTTTGGTGGGTGGTGAACGATTCACCCAGACCCCCTAGAGCTGCGACAAAAACACGACGGGCGGCTTTTCGCCATTTTCGGCCCCTGGGCTGGGGGCCCTTCCCGGGCCTCGGGGCCGTCAGAAAACGACTCGGGATGAAAAACCGGTCCTGGGGAAGGAGTCCAGACCTCTGGGGGTCGACGTCGGGGGTCTGGACAAAGAGGCGTCCTGCGCTAGATGGCGAGGCGACCTTGCGCGGCGGTGTACGCGGGCCGCCAGCGCGAGGGCGCTTACGCGCGACCTGACGCGGGCAGCTCACGCGCCAGAGTCGGCGCGGACGGCCCCGTGCTTCTGCGTCGCCCACGTACGGCCTCCCGCCCCTCCTCTTCCACAGCGGCAGCCGATCCGAAATCGCAGGGCATGCACTGCCGCCGAAGTAGCAATGCAGCGCTGTCACCAATGCCTCCAATCGGCGGTACCGATAGCGCTACTCCCCGGACCTCTCCTGGGATGCGACTCCAGCCGTCGCGACGAGGGCCTCCCACGAGGCTCAAAAAGGGGAAAACGAGCGAAACGTAGCGGCATGGATACGTGTTCCTCTTCTGAGTCACTGAGGGTTCAGCGCGCTCCGTCGGCGCATCTTGCACAGCAAGCGCGCCCTGACACGGAGGGCTAGCCAGCGGTGTCCTCTCGGAGCAACGTCGTTCAAACTACGCCAAAGGGGGCGAAACGCACGCATCCATCGCGTCCTGGTTCCTCCAACCCCTACTCCCCCTCCCCCTCCCCCTCCTCCTCCTCCTCCTCCTCCTCCTCCTCCTCCTCTTCCTCCGTCTCCTCCTCCTCCTCCCTCCTCCTCCTCCTCCTCCTCCTCCCTCCTCCTCCTCTTCCTCCGTCTCCTCCTCCTCCTCCTCCGCCTCCTCCTCCTCCTTGCTCCTCGCTCCTCCCTCGTCCTCCTCCTCCTCCTCCTCCTCCTCTCCTCCTCCTCCTCCTCCTGCTCCTGCTCCTGCTCCTGCTCCTGCTCCTGCTCTGCTCCTGCTCCTGCTCCTCTTCCTCCTCCGCCAATATATTATCCTCCTCCTCCTCCGCCTCCTCGCTCCTCCTCGTCCTCCTCTTCCTCCGTCTCCTCTTCCTCCGTGTCCTCCTCCTCCTCCTCCTCCTCCTCCTCCTCCTCTCCTCCTCCTCCTCCATTATATTATACTCCTCCTCCTCCTCCTCCTCCCTCCTCCTCCTCCTCCTCCGCCGCTCCTCCGCCGGCTCCTCCTCCTCCTCCTCCTCCTCCTCCTCCTCCTCCTCCTCCTCCTCCTCCTCTTCCGCATCAGTGGAAGCATGGGAGAGGGGGGAACTGATGAAAGCTGAGGACGGAGGAAGGGAGGGAGCGAGGCAAGGCTTGGGGGAGAAGGCTGCCCCGGATCCCCGGGGACCAGAAGAAAAATGTGTACCTTCCCCCGCACTCAGGGGCGGGCAGAGCACGCGCAACCACTCCACTCCTCCAGGAGGCCTCCGAGACCGCAGGGGGCGGCAGAGCACGCGCAATCACTCCACTCCTCCAGGAGACCACTCCACTCCTCCAGGAGGCCCCCGAGACAGCCGGACCTAGGACAGAAGCGCATCCTTCACGAACATGACATGAGACCCTCCGCCAGCCAACACGCACAGAACAGCCAAGGGTACCCTCCCCAGGATGCACAGGAGCATCCAACACACACGAGGAGAACTGGGTGGGGCACCCTCCCCGAACCGACCTCGACCTTAGACCTCGGTCCGACCTTATTCTTGTGTGGACACCTCCCCCGTACATAAATTATTCGTGCCTCGCTCTCCCGACCAGCCTGCACCACCAGAGCGGGCCCTGGTTCGGCTACTGAACGGCCCCGCGGAGCACCAGAACGGCCCAGGACCGCTCCAGAACGCCCGGGCTGAGCCCAGGACGGCCCCAGAACGGCCCCAAGACGGCCCAAGTGCGTTCAGAGAGGGCCCCTAACATCCTCAAGACGGCCAACGAGGCCCTCAAGACGCTCCAAGACACCTCCCAAGAGCGCCCCGAAGAGGCGAAAGTCGTGCCATTCCCTTAGGACGTACATTTCTAGCATACTCGCTTCTTCGGTCTTAATCAGCAGCATCCAAGACGATCCAAGAAACCTCCATGGTCGCCTCGAGACGGTCCAAGACGCCCTAAAGAGGGCCCCAAGACAGCCCAAGATAGCTCGAGACCACCGAAGAGGGGCCCCGGAGAGTCCGAAAAAGCCCCCAAGAGAGCCCCGAGACGGCCAGAGAAGGCCCCTAAGAGGGCCGAGGAGAGCCCCAAGAGAGTCCCAAGACGGCCCAAGCCCCCCAACACAGCCCAAAAGAGCTCCAAGACAAGGCCTTTCGACAGCAGTAATTCCACGCGGCCCGGCCGCCGCTTTTCCTCCAAAGATCTCCAGGAAGGAGACATAAGGAGCGCGACGACGACGACGACGACGACGACGACGACAAGGCCCGCTGGAGCCTGGGCTTCGACGGCCGCCTGGGTCGACCCCTTGATTCTCTCCTCCTCACCAGCCGCCTCGCCTTCGGTCCCAGACATCCAGCGTCAGGATTTTGTTCGCAGTGTCGGCCCCCCAATGTCCAAAAACCTCTCCCAAGACTACCTTTTCATACCCGGTCGTTGATTAACGATGATCGGGGCCTGGTGAGGGTCCCCCCACGCCCCGACCCTTTCATTGGCGACCGGACGCCAGGACTGCAGGACGCGCTTTCAAGGGCCATTCCAGGCCTTACCAGCCTCATCGGCTGTGCGACTCTTCTGGGCCCTGCGAGCGCTGGGGTCACTGTCACCCGTTTAAGCGCTACGTGCTCTACTGGCCGTACGAACCCTATGATCCCCATGAGCGCTCTGAGCACTGCGGCCTTCTGAGCTCCATGGGCACCGGGAGCCCTATGGACCCCATGAGCCCTGGGAGCCTGATGGGCCGTGCCAGCCGCATGAGCCCTATGAGCGCTGTGAGCCCTAGCAGATCCATGGGCCCAATGTCGCCTG